ATTGTAAAGAAGATCTAATAGAGAGATATATCATATCCATGGGCAGGAAGTTTTGATAACATAAATATGAAAAATTTTCCTAAATTACTATCTAAATTTAATATAATTCCAAGAAAAACGATAACACAGTTTTTTAGGAACTAAATGGGATTGAGGTAAATCCTAAAACTCAATTGGCTGAATAAAGGCCAAAAACAAAAGTTGTTATGAAAATATGGAAAGAGGAATAAAGAAGGAGGACTTTCCTATTAAACATCAAGCCTTATTATGAAGCTCTAACAATGAAAACTAAGTGATATTAGTGTAGAAATAGATAAGTGGAACAGACTTGACAGACGGGAATAGACCCATGCATATATATGGAAGCTTAGGTTTTGATTAGATAGTATTTAAAAATAATTGGTTTTTTCTAGGAATTTACCCTGAAGCTCTTCCTTCAACAATTCAAAAATGGGTGTCGACATTATTAATTGCAGCATTATTATTGCAATTTCAAAATAATGGAAACAACCTAAATTCCCATACAAAGGAGAATGTTTAAATCATGGAATACTATGCAGCTGAAAAAATGATGAGGAAGATCTCTATGAACTGATGTGGAATGATTTCAAGAATATATTATTAAGTGAAAAAGTAAAGTACAGTATTTTACCCCCTTTAAAAAGGAAAAAATATATATGAATCTGCTCTTTTGTGCAAAAAGAAGCACAGGAAAGATAAACCAGAGATTAATGAGAGTAGATTGTACAGGACATGAATGTGATGGGTAGAAGGAGGGAGGAGATGAGGGGGCGGTCACTCTGTGATTGTGCCTTTTTATAGAGTTCTGACTTTGGGGACCATGCTAATGTTTTATTTTTTTAAAAAAAGAATCAGTAAAAAATGGGGAGACCACATAATTGAATATAAACAAAACCAAATAAAACGACTTGAATGAATAACATACTGACAGGGGAAAAACAACTAACTCAGGACACTTTTGAAAACATTCTTTGAAAAAAAATATATATATACAATGTATCAGGCTAAGGAGAAAAGAAAAACCTTTATACAAATTTTGGCATCTTGTAGGCTTCTTTTTTGCAGAGGCATGAGTTAGCATTTCTGAAATTACTAAGTATTCTGTAACTTACTTATTAGTAATTATATTATGGATAATGGGAGCCACATTTTTCACTGTCAGAAAAGAAAATTACAAATATGGAAATGAGAAGGGTAAAATGACCAAACTGGTGGATTGGAATTGGAGATATTGCTATGAGCTCATGGTCTGATAGAGTAAATAGATACAGATATAGATAGATACATAGAAATAGATGCATATATATAGAAACATTTACCTATGTCTGTATATATCTATATCTATATAAAAAATGAATGAAGGGGGCCAGGAGCACATCTGATGCTCAGGTCTTGAATTATAAATCCATTATAAGGAACTAGGGCATTTGTTCAGTTTAGGGGAAAAAAAGGTGGGGGGAAGACCAGAGGTTTCTTGGAAAATGGGTAAAAATTCCAAAACTGGTGCAAAGAAAGTAAAAGATGAGTCTGGAATGTCTTATTGAGTCAGAAAGTAAAAAATGCTCAAAGAAAAATTGGGACATGTCAAAAAGACATGGGGAAAAATTAAAGACATAGGAACTAGCTTAAAGGGAGCTCCCACTAGCCAAATCTGGGATAGTTTGGACATCCAAATAAATAAATACAGAAAAGGATTACAAATAAGAATCTATGATCCAGGCTGGGCACAGTGGCTCACTCCTATAATCCTAGCACTCTGGGAGGCTGAGGCAGGAAGATCTCTTGAGCTCAGGAGTTGAGACCAGCCTGAGCCAAGAGTGAGACCCCGACTCTACTAAAAATAGAAAAAATTAGCCAGGCATGGTGGCACGTGCCTGTAGTCCCAGCTACTCGGGAGGCTGAGGCAGGAGGATCACTTGAGCTCAGGAATTTGAGGTTGCTGTGGGCTGGGCTGATGCCATGGCACTCTAGCCCAGGTGACAGAGTGAGACTCTGTCTCAAAAAAAAAAAAAGAAAAGAAAAGAAAAGAAATGTATAAAGAATGATGGAATTAGAAAAATCACAATTTGGAAATCATCATAAGTGATTCAGTGAACAGTCATCAATGTATGATAAAATTATGGGTGAAAGTTTAAGAAGTAAGAGAATATTTACACAGTCTCAAAGTATCTCCCCACAAGATACTTATTAATTACAATGGGGAAAATGCTAACATTGTAATAGAGAAACCTGGCAGATAACAATCTAAATAAATGATCAAAGTTAACATCACCAGTATTGGGATAAACAGTTTGTGCTTCCTGATACGATGCACTGAGAACACATCATTTTTGTGATATTCTTGCCAAAAGTTTATAACATGTGATCATGAGGAAACATCAAACACAAATTGAGAAATATTTTACAAAATAACTGTTTTGTACTTTTAAAAAATGTCAATGCCATGAAACACAAAGACTCAGGAACTATTCCAGTTTAAAAGAAACAGAAAACATATATAATGAATGCAATGCATGATCCTGGATTTTATTTTGCTTTAGAGGACATTATTAGAACAATTGGAAAAATCTGAATAAGGTCTGTAGATTCGTTAATAGCATTCTATCTATATTAATCTCCTGATTTTGATAATTGTACTGTGGTTAAATGAGAGACTATCCTTGATTTTAGAAAACACCCACACTGAGGTATTAAAATTGCATCATGTCTACAATTTACTCTCAAATGTTGAGGAAAAGTTAAAGTATGTATGTATGTGTATGTGTGTATATATAGATAGATATTTATATATAACAGTAGTGCCCCCTCACCCCTTGGGGATATGTTCCAAGACCCCAAGCAGATGCTTGAAACCAAAGATAGTACTGAACCATATATACACTATGCACACATTTCTTTTTCCTTCTTCACAATTTCACAGATAGAAGATTCATTCTTAACATAGATTTTAGCAACCTCAGCATATGATTTTTTTCTTTCCTTATTAAGTCCTTTTTACATAAAGGAAACACTTTGCAGCTTCTCTTTGGCATAACCCAATTGCCAGCATTGGTATTCTTGTGCTTTGGGGCCATTATTAAGTAAAATAAGGGTTACTTGAACATGAGCACTATAATACCGTCACAGTCGATCTATATATAACCCAGATGCCTACTAGGTTACCAGCTGATGTGTAGTGTCTACAGCACAGAAACACTGGACAAAGGCATGATTCACGTCCCAGGCAGAACAGTGGGAGATTTCATCATGGTACTCAGAACGGCCATGTGCAATTTAAAACTTATGGATTATTTCTGGGATTTTCCATTTAATAATTTCAGACTGTGGTGGACCAAGGTTGACTCAAACTGCAGAAAGCGAAACCACAGATAAGGAGGACTACCCTATACATAGGCATATGTATGTGCATGCATAGAAAGAGAGAGAGGAGAGAACTGCTATTGTAACTTTAATCTGAAACTATGTCAAAAACGTTTTTAAAGATACCTCATTAAGATAATGCAAAGTGACACCATACTAATACCCCTACTAGAATAGCTCAAATCATAAATAAAATATGCTATTAAAATTAACTCCATCTGTTTCTTTTCACCTTTTTAATGTGGCTAATAAAACATTTAAAATTACATATATGGCTCCCACTATTAGACAGTGCTTGTTGATTCCAATACTCTTTTCTTACAAATGAAGAAACTAAGGCAGAGAAGCATAATGGCAGCTCTTTGGGGATGAATTCCCTCTTACAGTCTTAGGCTTTTCCTGTTGCCATAAACCACACTGTTAAAAAAAAAAAAAAAAGGATAGCTTAAATCAAAAAGACAGACAATATAAGGATGTGGATAAACTAGAATCCTCATACACTACTGGTAGGGTTGTAAATTGGTATAATCACTTTGGAAAACAGTTTGGCAGATTCTAAAAGATCTAAATATATATTTACCGTATGTCCCAGCAATTCCACCTCTCCGTATCTAGCCAAGAACAATGAAAACATAGGTCCACACAAAGATTTGCATGTGAATTTTAATCACAGCATTTAATAATAGCCCCAAACTGAAAACATTGAACGGGTAAACAAAATGAGGTATTTTTATACAATGGAGTGCTACTTAGTAGTTAAAATAAATTCTGATTCATGTAACAATATGGATGAACCTCAAAAACATCATGCTAAGTTAAAGAAGCAAGGCACAAAATACCATATTTCTATTATATGATTCCATTTATTTGAAATAAAGAAAACTAAAGAGATAGAAAATAGATCAATGGTTGCCTAGAGCCAAGGGTAGGAATGGGGACTAACTGCAAACAGGCATGAAAGAACTTTTTGGGGTAGTAGAAGTCCTCTAAAACTGAATTGAGGAGATGATTGCACAACTGAACCCTAAAATTAGTGGATTTTGTGGCATGTAAATTTACCTTCATATAGCTATTTTTATTTTATTTTATTTTATTTTGAGACAGAGTCTTGCTCTGTCACCTGGGCTAGAGTGCCATGGCGTCAGCCTCACTCAGAGCAACCTCAAACTCCTGGGCTCAAGCAATCCTCTGTCTCAGCCTTCTGGGTAGCTGGAACTACAGGCACACCCCACCATGCCTGGCTAGTTTTTTCTATTTTTAGTTGTTTGGCTAATTTCTTTCTATTTTTAGTAGAGACAGGGTCTCACTCTTGCTCAGGATGGTCTCGAACTCCTGAGCTCAAGCAATCCTCCCGCTTCGGCCTCCCAGGGTGTTCATATAGCTATTTTAAAAAGACAACATAACATCCTCCTAAATGAGGAACAAATGGGACTATTCAATCAATAGTGATCGGGCAACTGGCTACTATTCATATGAAAAAAAATCCCTTAGATGTCACACACACACACACACACATACACACACACACACACACACTCTTCCAGCTGCTTTAAAGAACTAAATCTTAAAAGCAAAGCTTCAGAACATTTAGAAGTATAACGAATACCTCTACACCCTAGGGGTATGGAAGGTTTCTTAGGACTGTAAAAACACAAGCCAAAAATAAGATATCAATAAATTAACTATGTTAAAGTTAGAAACTCATGTATAAAAAAGACACTAATATAAAGCTTAAGGTCTTTATTATAAATATTTGCAGCATTTGTAACTAATAAGCAATTAGCATCCAGGTTATATAAATAGTCCCTATAATAAGGGAAAAAACTCTACAAACAACCTGATTTAAAAATGAGCACAGGATAGGAAAATGCAGTTTGCTGCTGTGGAGATTATAAAAGTCAATACATGTATGAAAAGATCTGTGTCACTAGTAAGCATGAGCAATTTAAGGACATGGTAGAAATTGACAGCCATCAGATTGGCAACAATTAAAGCATGGTATCACCAACATTGATGAGGAGTCTCACAATCGCTAGTGGATGTAAATTGGTACAACCACTTTTAAGTGCAATGTGGCATTATTTAGTCACATTCGTATCTATAATTTGGCAGTGTCATATCTAGACATAATCCTAAGAAAAATTCAGGACATGTACGAGGATTGTTTACTGCAGCAATGTTTATAATAGCAAAAAAATTATTATTTTTCAAAATTGTTTTGGCTATTCTGGATCCTCACATCATTTGGGCCACTGCCTCCCTATGGTAGGAGGGAAACAAAGGTAGTAGTGGTAGGAAGGGAATGTGTGCTGGAAAATGCCCCTGGCAATTCAGTGAACTTCAGGTGAGAACATTTCAAAGTGTAGATATTGTAGGCAGGAAGGGTTTGGGGTATGAACGTTTTGTGAACTAGTAGAAATTTTACATGGACTAGAACTGGTCAGAAAATTGGACTAGATATTCCCTAAATTCCCTTCCTGCCCAAATATTCTGGCGTTAAATATTTATGTATTTAAGCTTTCCCAAGTGACTTTGCGTGCTCTGAGTAATTTGCTATATAACAAATTTGTGAAGTATAATAGTGGATTTATATTATCTCATTTAACCCCTGGAAGAGTGCTTCAAGCAAAGAATAATATTGGCTGAGAGGAGTAGTTAGTGTTTTCATCTCCTATTCAGATCTGCATTGAAGTAATTCCAGTATCTACTTTGTCTAATGCATAGAGACGGGATAAAGTGTAGTAGTTAAAAACTTGGACTCTGGAGTCAGACTGCATTGTTTCAAAACCTGGCTCCTCTAATTATTAGCTTCATAACCCTGGCAAGTTATTTATCCTCTCTGTGCCTAGGTTTCTCTTTCTGTAAACTGGGAATGATAAATAATAGTAGTTATCACCTAGGTCTTGAGGATTAAGCATGAGCATATGTAAAGCAATTAAAACAATGTCATCAATGAAAACAAGGTAAATCACATAGTAACTATGAAAGTGTTAACTGTTATTAACAGAATGGCTTCTATCATAAGAGGAACAAATGACTCAAGGTGCTTTCAGAAAAAAACGAGGGGCCAAGCTGTCTTTAAGCTTTCTGAAATGGAGGAATTTTTAAAAATCTGTTTCTCCCTACCTCCTTTCATTTTCCAGCTTCCCCTTTGAATTCAGAGGTTCTTAACTGGGAAGGTGTAGAAACAGTTGAGGTAGAAACAGTTGAGGCAATGTAGTTTGCATACCATGTTTGTGACAAGTCATCATCACCAGCTGCTGCACTTTTTTCAGGCTGGACGGCAACTGGAAGCTGAACAGGCCTACAAGTATACAATAAAGGTATGACATAGGCGCCTCTATCATTTGCGTACGTCCTACTGAGGCTGGGAAACTGGGAGGAAGGTACTGGCTTAATTCAGGACTTCAGAGCATTGCATGATGTGAATATTTTTCTTGAGGCTTTTCTTACCATCTTTGCCCTTATCACGGAGTTGCTGGGTTTGTAATAATAAGCTACATATTCCACAGGTGATCTTTCTTCCAACTCTTTAGAGAGAATATGGTTTAAGAGAAAGACAGATGGCCTAAGTCAGTTGACCAGAATTATGGTTCTGGTTTTGTCATTAACTTACTGTGTTAACCTCTCTGGGCTTCATTTTCCTAATGTGTAAAATGTAGGGGTTGGTCTGGTCCAGGGGTCAGCTATCTTTTTCTGTAAAGGGCAAAATAGGAAATCGTTTAGGGTTTGTGGGCCAAAGTCTCGGTTGCAACTACTAACTCTGCCCTTTTAAGTGCAAAAGCAGCAATAGATAATACATAAATGATTGGCTATGTTCCCATACAGTTTTACTTACAAAAAACAGGTGGTGGGCAGCATTTGGCTCATGAACAATCCCCAGTCTATTTATTAGTTATGAATTGCAAGTAATTTGACCTGACAAGTAATAAAACAATGGCTTTAACAAATTCATGTTTTCTTATCTAGTGAAAAGTCCAGGGTGGGTACCACAGCTCCAGTGTCATCAGGGACCTAACCTCTATCTTTCTGCTCCGCCAGCTGTAACATGCAGCTTTCATCCCTCATAGTTGCAAGATAGCTAATATAGCTCCACCTACCAAACTCACATTTCAGGAAACACAAAGGAAAGGAAAAGGGGGCCATGGCATAGCTATTTCACTTCCCTTTATTTTATTTTATTTTTATTTTTTTGGACCCCAGCTCTGTGCCCAGGCATAAGAGACAAAGGCCCTCACTTCCCTTTAAAGGGCTTTTCCCAGGTGTCCCATCCAATGACTTTAGCTTACATTTCACTGGGCCACAATTGGTCATATGACTACCTCTAGCTGCAAAGGAAATAGAAAAATGTGTCTTTTTAACTGATTGCTGTCCTGAAGCATTGCTGTCCTGAAAAGAAATCAAGATTTTGTTAATAAGAGAGAATGGGTATTCAGTAGGCTACTAGATGCCTCTACTATACATCTAGATTCTAAAATTAAATTCAGATCTAATAAAAGCCTGTGATTCCTGTGTCTTTGATTACTTGCTGTCACTTGTCACATGGGAATACTACACATTAGCCTAGAGATGTTGGTGATAATATGAACACTTTAAAAAATAAACTTTAATAAAGTTATTTTACCAAAAAATGTATAAATCATGAGTGTTCACATTGCTTGATGAATTCTCACGAAGGAAACATATCCATGTAACCAACACAATGTTCTAAGGTCTTTTAATGGAGTTTTCATTAAATAGGGAATATAGGAAGAACCACTTCTATCCCAAGGAACTATGTCCTTTAGCCGTGGCCCCACAAATGAGGGGTCTTCAAGCCACATAGGTACATCAGGTATGATGTGTCCTTCCCTTCCTTCCTCTCTCATGTAGCTGAAATTGAAAGATGAGGCTCTGCTTGCAGAGATCCGCATGGTACAGGAAATGGTTGGCTTTGGAAATCCATCTTTCTGACATCCTTCCAGCTGAAGAATTTTCTGTGTGGGACTCTGAGCTGCTTTCCTTCCTAGAGAAAGTTTCACCATATGAAGCCTGGAGCTGGAAAACAAAAGAATCTTCACCATAAACAGAAACCCATTCATTTATTTCCATTGGCTATGTTACTAGATGTTTTACTGGTTGACAGTAAACTAAATCACAATAAAAAATGGAAATAAGAGACTCAAAATTCATCAGTGTGGTTCTGGAGTTAATTAATGTATACTGAGTATATGTAATTTTATATAAAGAATTAGATAAAGTATAGCTAATCTATACATTGGGGTCATTAAGCTTTCTCATGAAAGCTTATCAGATCACTCCTGGAGGAAGTCAGCAGCTAAGGCCCCTGGCCAGATCCACTTAACTTAAACTTGGGAATTAAGGCATCATTTTCAATTAAGGTCTAGAGGAAGACAGCTAGGCTTGGTCACTGTATTAGGGCAAAGAGCATACTATTAAATAGTTGTGGCCAGCCCCTTTGGAACCAACAGTGAACAAAAATGCTGAACAGAGAGGTCTTTGCTGAAGGTGGGGGTATTGACTACCTCTAACCACCCACAGGTATCTTCACGGATATAAACTACAACGGCTCCATGAAGATACCACTATCCTATAATATAGTTGTAAAAGCTTTCACCACTGAGGCCATATTCTAGGGCTAGAGATAACAAGTCATTATTTCACCCCTGCCCTCCTGGATCACAGCACGGCAAAAGCAGGCGTAAAGATTCCCCCTCCTTTATTTTTTGAGGCTTGAATACCTCTTTGGGGGTGGGAGAATAGGTGGGAAGGCGAGAGGCAAATTAGTTAACAGAGAAGGAAAAAGCAAACTCTATAGTCATTTATAATCCTTCCCCCAGTCTCGGCCCTAACGCTACCTCCTTTGTGAAGTCTTCCTGAGGAAGTATCAAGTTTGCCTAGCGCCCGCACTGTACAGACCGCCCTAGTTTCTCTGGTCTAACCTCACCGTGATCCCGACCAGACTGAGCACCATGGGGGCAGAGACAGCGCCCTTTCATATCATGGTTCTCAGTACTGCGCCTCAGCCCTAACGGGTGCTCAAAAAACTATTGCAGGATGTATGGATTTGTAGAGAATTCATCACTTCTCTTGGCGCTCCTGGGATTCTACCAACGTTCCTCACTCCAGCAGGAACTCACACCAGTGAGGAATCGCACGGAAATTCCCACAGGACACCCATTGAAACACGCCCCTTTTGCGGCAGTTTAAGGTACAGCATCCGTCACCGGGTTGCATTATGGGAAGTGTAGGCGCGGAAAGCGGAAAAGGCAGGGCGAGTGGACTCCCCGCTTCCGGAACCGAGGCTTTAGGGCTGGGCTAAGCCCGCGGTGAGGGCAGGTGTCCGGCTGCGTCGACCATTTGGGTTTGGGAGTTTGCGTCCTCACCCCGCCGAGGCCGTAGGGCCGGTCAGTGCAGGCAGCGGGACGCACCATGGTCCATCTGAGTGAGTCATCGGGGCCCCGCGAGACCTTCCGGGCGTTCGGGGGGGCTTGGGCATTCGGGACCGGGCGGAGCGGCGCTCCAAGGCGTGCTGGAGGCAACCTGAACCTGAAAGAGCCACACTGCCTTACGTTTGAGCTTTCTTTTAGTTTTTTTCCCCACTTAATCCTCGCTGAAGTCCCCATCTCATTTTACAGATGAGGCAACTAAGTCTTCAGGACAGGGTCACAAGAGCTAGTAAACGGCAGGTCTAGGCGGAGTGGACTTGAGGATGAAGAGGAGGTCATTTCTGGCAGGAGTAGATAGAGGGGTTTCACAAAAAAGACGATGTCTAAGATTAACAAGAATAGATTGGAAGTGAGAATATTTAAGTAGAAAAAGGGAATTGTTCCGTCTACCTCATTTTGCGTTCTTATTTCTTGTGAACTAACCAGAGATTTTTCTACAGCTACCGTCCTCTGCAAGGCCTACCATGGGGGCCACTTAACCATCCGCCTTGCTCTGGGTGGCTGCGCCAACCGGCCCTTCTACCGCATTGTGGCTGCTCACAACAAGTGTCCCAGGGATGGCCGTTTCGTAGAGCAGTTGGGTTCCTATGATCCACTGCCCAACACCCATGGAGAAAAACTCGTTGCCCTTAACCTGGACAGGATCCGGTATTGGATTGGCTGTGGGGCCCACCTCTCTAAGCCTATGGAAAAGCTTCTGGGTAACTCAGCTCTGGTCTTACCTCATTGAGGGGTTTTAAACTGAAATCAGCTCCAGGATAATGAGAATGAAGAATGATTTTCATTCCTTCCAGGCTGCTCAGGACTTGAATGGGAGCTGAAGTTGTGATCTAATTGCCATTTTGAATCTGGAGGCCCGTTAGTGGACTCCTTTGTGAGACTTTTTGGGTGACTAGAATTTTTTGCTAAAAATGGGAATAGTGTGTATTGATTGGCTGTCTTGTCAGTTTAACTTTTTTTCAAGTAAGGAGAATAGTGTAAGTAAGTAGACATCATCCACTGTCTCCTTGTAGTAAATCAGGGGGAGAAGAGGAGGTAGTACAGAGTTTGACAAGTGGGGAGCATGGTTTACCTCCATGCTCTGGGTCAGGTCTCAGACCTCAGTTCTGTGAGGCAGAGTTCCCAAGAAGACTGGCTTGTACTGTGTTATAATAAATGAAAATTCTTTTGCTTTTAGGTCTTTCTGGCTTTTTCCCTTTGCATCCTATGATTATCACAAATGCTGAGAGACTGCGAAGGAAACGGGCACGTGAAGTCCTCTTAGCTTCTCAGAAAACAAATACAGAAACTTCGGCAACAGAAACAAGCTGACTGCAGTGAGCATAGCCGTGGGAATAAGATCAAGGTCCTTTTAAAACACTTGTGCAGAGATCTTAAAATTTGTTCAATTTGGAGGTCAATAAATGGAGTTCTTTGAGTCACCCATGCTCTTCTGACCTAGTCTGAACAAGGCCCAGGGAGAGATTTGTTCTTGTATAACATAGAGCTGAGTCTAGGTACTAAATAGCTTTTTAGCCTTTGTCTTGGGAAAGACAGTGAGTGTGGGAGTATTGGACTTTGGGTTGGGCCCTGGGTCTCTTGGACAACTTTACAATTTGCTGCCTTCCAAGATGTCCTGCTTCAAAGCCCTCAGCCAAAATGTTCATGGCATATTCAAATCATTCTTTAATCATTCATGATCAGCCCATAAGTGTAAGAACAGTTACCTTGCTTATTGATTTTGTAATTGGAAGATTTATATTGTCTTGCTTAACACATATTCTCAAATTTGTAAAGGTAGTTTCTTTGTGAAAATCACTTTTGGGCTGTAATAACATGCCTTTTAAGAATGAGAAATTGGGCAGGGCACGGTGGCTCACACCTGTTATCCTAGCACTCTGGGAGGCCGAGGCGGGAGGATCGCTTGAGGTGAGGTGTTCAAGACCAGCCTGAGCGAGAGTGAGACCCTTTCTCTACTAAAAATAGAAAAAATTAACCAGGTGTGGTACATGAGGCTGAGGCAGGAGAATCACTTGAGCCCAGGAGTTTTAGGTTGCTGTGAGCTAGGCTGACACGGGGGCACTCTAGCCTGGGCTACAGAGCGAGACTCTGTCTCAAAAAAAAAAAAACCGGAAGAAAGCTAATATTGTAAAATACCTATGTATATCCTAGACCATTTACATGCAAGGTTGTTTGTGAAGATTATAAGATATGAAAGAAGGTAGGATTATCTCCATTTTACATATGGGGAAGCTGAGGCTTAGAGGTGGAAACTTGCCCAGTTGATACAGGATTCAGACTCCAATGTGCCCGCCTGGAAATCCCTTTCCAACATATGTTGTCTGTAGGTAGGAAAAATGAGCAAAGATTGAGGCATTTTTAAGAGTCCAGTTAGAAAGTCAGTCATAGAATCATATTTAGGTATCATGAGTTTGATAATATAAATGATTGGTTATGCCAAAACAAAACATCACATTGCTCCACCAGAACTGCAGGATTTTACAACCATAACTGTGATTTACATGGTTTTAGTGTACACTCTGCATAATGTAGACTTCAAATTCTGGCATAAGACTAAGATACAGGAAATTTATAGAGGTTATAAAGCCCAGCTTATTCTCCAGGTTTTATGTTCTAAGAACAATTACTCGCCACCCCAAATTGTAGGGTCATCAAGGCTCCTCTGGGGTTGTTTCTGGCTGGCTTCCACTTGCTTTGAGGATACTTTGAAGCCAGGGGAGGTCTACAGGAATTGGCTGGGTTTGATCTTGGATCTGGGAAAGAGAAATGCTTTGAAAACCATGACAACTCTTGGAGGTTTAAAAGATGTTACTATGCCCTGGAGAGTTTGAGGCTTTGCAGAAACTTACTGGCAGACCAGAATGATTCTGAAAAGTGAAGATCAGTGAAGGGAATTGATGCGAAATGGCTTAAGGTAAAATGTTATTTTGAGCTACTGAATTTCTGCCAACTTGGGTATTCACTTTGCATTCTGGTTTATCCTTTGTCTGTGATCTATATAAACATATTTCCTGTGTGAGCTTGTCCTCTCCCTGATTTCCGGAGTTTTCTCGAGCCTTAGTCTTGCTTTGGATCTCCAGGCTGAAGTTTCTCACCATGTATGTCTTGGATGATTGTTCCAGCTATGAACTTCACAAAGCATTAAAAGAAAACCTTGGCTTCAGCAGCTTGTTTTTATTGAGATGAGGGTTTGGGTCATATTATCTCCACCAATGTGTAAGGTGACTCGGGAGCAGGAAGGTGCTTGAAGATGATTCTGTAATAAACGTCAAATCCATAAGCCCTGTAAAGAATTTTTAGAAGACCGGTGTTTTGTGCTTTTTGTTCAATGTAGGCTTTTTCCTGCAGGACTCGAGGGAAAGTACCCCAGCAGTCCCAACCTGTAGGTTGCAAAATTATCTGGGAGTACGGCTTTACCTATTGCTTTCAGGATTGTCTTTGGAAAAACAAATGTGTTAGGTTGAAGCATGTGAAATTGCTGAATGCTGATGTTTGGCCGTTTTCTACTTTTTTTAAAAAAGGCCAGCAATTTATAAAAGCCTAATATGTGGACGTTCCATATATTCTTGAGTAAGCTTTCTGCCCTGGGACACTGGGGGTAAGACAACTGGTAAGATGCCAGATTTTCAGAATTAGGGGAGGGCAGCGCTGGAGAGGGTGTGGTGGGACACGAGTCCCGCTCCGCTCCGCTCCAGGTAAGGTGCGCCCGGGCGGGCGCCAATCTGGCCACGCCCTCTCTGCGGGGCCGCCGTAAAGCGCGGCTGCGCAGCGTAGCCCCGCCCCTTCCGCCCCTCTTGTGACGCGGCAGCCCTGGGCTTTTTGAGCGGGAAAAAGCCGTCCGGAGCTGTAGTCCGTGCGTCCGTACCCGGCTGCTTTTGTGGAGGTTGCCCGCAGCTTAGTATGGGGTTGCTGGAGCTATGCGAGGAAGTGTTCGGTACCGTCGACCTTTACCGGGTGCTAGGCGTGCGGCGCGAGGCGTCCGACGGCGAGGTCCGACGGGGCTACCACAAAGTGTCCTTGCAGGTGCACCCTGACCGGGTGGGCGAGGGCAACAAGGAGGACGCCACCCGCCGCTTCCAGGTATACAGGTCGCTGCCCCAAGGCGGACCGGCCTCCCCGGCCTTTCCCGGCCTTCCCTGGCCTTCTAGCCACCTAGCCCCGCTCCGGGGAGTGTGCTCACTTCGGCCTGGCGCTTTCTCTATTCCTCGAGGCGCGGTTTCAGTGGGGTGGGGGGGGTACAGGGGTGACTTTTGGATACTCTTTTCCCTCAGATCCTGGGGAAAGTCTATTCCGTTTTAAGTGACAAAGAACAGAGAGCAGTGTACGATGAACAGGGAACAGTGGACGAGGAATCTGCTATGCTTACTCAAGACCGGGATTGGGAGGCATACTGGAGATTACTCTTTAAAAAGGTAGGAAACTTTGGAGGTTTCTTTGTGACTTACTATTATTCAATCAACAAATGTTTATTCAGTGCCTTTGAGGGCTCATTGTGTGTTAATTTTGTATGAATGAGAAATTTGAGTTTGATCTTGAAATATAAATACAGGCACACTTATTGAAACAGCCTTTGTTTTCCTGTTGATATCGTGGGATTGTTACAGTAAAAAGGGAGGATTTATTTTTTTACAGGATGTGCTTTATTTTATATACCTGAACGTTTTAAGTCTTGCATGTTTATCTCGGTCTCTTCCCACCCTTGGAAACTTCCATTTTCCTTCCCTGGGCCCTAGTTTAGCAGTTGTGAAGGTTGGACCAGGGAGAACTCTGGGATAGCTTAGGCATAGGAAATTTGGTTCCTTGCAACAATTTCCACTCAAGCAACTGTTGTATATGAGGAGAAACATTTCAACTTCTAAATCTCTAGTTTTACTAATGTACTTGTTATTTAAAAAAGTTCTCAAAGTATATTTCTCTTATCAGATATCTCTAGAGGACATTCAAGCCTTTGAAAAGACATACAAAGGTTCTGAAGAAGAGCTGGCTGATATTAAACAGGCATATCTGGATTTCAAGGGTGACATGGATCAGATCATGGAGTCTGTGCTTTGCGTGCAGTACACAGAGGAACCCAGGATAAGGAATATTATTCAGCAAGCTATTGACACCGGAGAG